TACTCGCTCTTACTGAACACTACTCGCTCTTACTGAACATTCCTCGCTCTTACCAGGAATGTTGAATTATTATTTTTAGCAAAAAATGCCAACATTACAGCAAAGATGAGCCATCGACTCAAGAATGCACAAAGGGAGGCCTCGTCCTGGAACGTTCTCAGTCGACCGTGCTGGAGCACTACCCAGCGCTTCTGCCTTAAGCAGAGCCACTTCTTCTACATTTCACTGAAGCTTGGCGGAGTAATCGCGACTCACCAAGCCTCGAGGTGTTGCGAAAGAGCACCAGCCACATCATTCTCATTCGATTGCATGCTGGGCAAAGAAGCTTCTACAACAGAATGCTAAGAATGTCCATAGGGCGTATGCCTGTGACCCCATCCCGCCAAACAACAATCTCCTCTAAATTGGCAGGAATTAGTCTCAGCCAAAGGCCACTTAAAGTCCACCATTGGGCCACGCCTGAGCTCTCCACAGCTTGAGAAGTAAGATGGGAAAACATCCTGATCCCTAGTTCAAGCCGCACTTCAGTAGGCAGTTCAGAGGGATCCTAGTTTGCGGCTCGTGGTGAAACCGCGGTTGGTAGTTCAGCGGCGACAAGTCTTCCATGCGGACACGATAACACGTGCTTGGCAATCTCAAGCCAGCAAGAGCTCATCATACCCGAGCTACACCCGAGCAGTCCAAAATGTTGAGATGCAGTACACTGACACCCAGCCTCTCAACCCATCCGGCGAAATCATAGTCCTCCTCAGATGCAGAGGCACATGCCAAGAAACCACCACCTGCCATGCACCACTCATGCATCACCGCGCCATTCCCCGCCATGCGACAGAGCAGAAGTGTTAGCCATACGTTGCAAATACGCATGCGATGGGGCTGCAGAACCGAGACGACACCTCCAATCCGAGTCGGATAATGTGAATTTAGTGCAACCCCAGGTTAAAACAGCCTAGCCCCTTGCTACATTAAGCAACCTCCCTAGCTACATGTGCAAGCGCCAAGAATTTGTCCAATAGTCTTTGGGAGCATGCGCAGATCGCGCGGTAACATTGAGCATGGCTCGAAAAGAGTCCCAGCCGTTCAGCGACTCCACAATTGCCGGGTTGCTGTTAAGGAACTTAATTTAAGTTATTACATTGGGGAAACCATATTAATTACTGTATATACCCATTTATGGTAACGAAAGGAACTCCCCTATTTCATAGCAACCCAGATTGCTTGTGCCTTCCGGTCCAGAGACGAAAGTCCTAAGCTCACCTTGCGGCCTAAGTATTTTGAGGGCAGCTGCAAAGACACCATGACTGCTATTATTACTACTGTTCCTGCCATGATTACTATTATTACCATTATTACTACAATTAAAACTATTAAGATTCTATGCTCACGTTCCCAACCTTCAGCTGGTCTTTCTACAAACTTGGCAGCTATAATTCCAGTTGATGCCGGTTGAGGCTCTTGCAACCGGAAAGCCTATGCTCAATTGCGGCATAACCGCACTCTTCTGCCTTTTCGCTGAAGAGTTGAGCAGTACGACTATTACAATTGTTATTAATATTACTACTATCCCTATATATCACCTCTATTACCACTAAATAATCCCTATATTACCCCTAAAATAATTCCTATATAAACCCATTATCGTAGTTTCCATGTTCTTTTCCATTATCCCTATATAATCCCTATATAATGCCTATATAACCCTGTATAACCCTATATAATCCCTATATAACCCCTATATAACCCCTATATAACCCGAAAAAAAACCCTACATAATCCCTATATAACCCTAAAAAACCCTATATAACCCCTATATAATCCCTATATTAACTACTACGCTCAAAGGCGACGACGCTGAGCAGAAGCCATCTCAAATCCTAAACCTTTATATAACCCATCATGACACCAGTTTCCATTTCATTTTCCATGTTCTTTTCCATTTGATTCTCCATTATCCCTATATGACCCTAATCCTAAGAGCAGAAGCCATCTCCAGAGCCTCAGAGCTCTCAGAGCTCCTCCTTGGCTGCAGCCTCCAGCTTTGGGATGATCTGCTTCCTTAGTCAATGAAAATTTAGGTAATAATAGCCATAGTAGTAACAATACTAATAATATGGCTGTACTAATATAATAGTAGTAACGATTGTAACGATTGTAAGCTTTGGGATGATCTGCTTCCTTAGTCAATAGGGCTTAGGGTTTAGGATTTAGGTTTTACGGTTTAGGGTTTAGGGGTTTAGGGTTTAGGGTTTGGGGTTTAGGTAATAATAGCCATAAGAGCAACAATAGTAATGGTACTGTTGGGGGATGAAAGCTTGCACCACCTAGGAGCCCTGGGCTACTGTAATTCCGAGGGCTTTAGGGACTTAAGGTGGTGCAAGATTTCCTCCATCAACAATAGTACTACTAATAATAATGATGCTCATAATTGTAGTAATAATAAGAATGATAGTAGTAACAATTGTAGGAATAACAGTAATAATACTAGTAAAAATAACAAGAGTAATGCATCGAGGACCTGCATCAGCTTCCGGCCTGCAAACCTGAGGCCAAGACTTTCGGGAAAGCACGTTTGGCAGCACCACCAGGCCCTCCGCGTCAACTTTGACACCCCAGGCTTTCCTCAAAGGTGGGGGTTGGATAAACTGGGTTGCTGTTAAGGAACTTAGGGTTTAGGATTTAGGGTTTAGGGTTTAGGGTTTAGGGTATATTATCCCCCTATAATGGAGAATCAAATGGAAAAGAAAATGGAAAATGAAATGGAAACTGGGACAATATAGGGAGCTAAGTTACTATATTGGGGAAACCCTACTATTTACTATATATACCCATTATGGTAACTTAATTTAAGTTCCTTAACAGCAACCCAATAAAGCTCCCAACTCTGCTGTAGCAACTGCATACTGCATTCGACACAGCTTCCCGCAGAACAGAAACATGAAATGCTTCGCTGACAGTCAGCCCGGATCGAATTCGAAACACATGTCCATGTTCAACAAAAAAGTTGTATAAGAAACTTGAAGCAAGAGCTCCTCAAGATTCCTTACCATTCTCGACTGTGTTCTAGGAGTAGTTCAAGTCTCTACCCACGGAGCCACGGAAGGAAAGGCCCAGCATGAAGTTTAGCCAAGCAGCTCCACCAGTTTGGTGGCCGTAGGAGAGGAAGAGATAAACGTCGCAGCCTCCTTCAGTATGTCAACTACCTTGGCCCGGTTATCTGATGCAATCCATATACAGTCCTACCGAGACAACAAAAGTGACACTGACAACAAGACTCATAAAAAAAAGCAAAAGCAATAATGGCAGTGGCAGTAGTAGTGGTAGTAGTAGTACTGCTACTACTACTACTACTACTACCACCACCACTACCACTAGTACTACCACTACCACCCCTGCTAAGTTACTGCTACTATTATTTTTAGTAGTAGTGTTATGAGAAATTCTATGAGAATGAAAACTCATATTAGTAGTAGTATTGCTATGAATCAGTATTATTTTGTACTTTATTAGGATTAGTATCCCCTAAACCCTAAACCCTAAACACACAAACCCACTATTAACAACATTATGAGGATTAGTACCATTCTGATTGGCTTTGTGGTGATTATTACTCGAGCTGCGAAGAACAGCACGTCGTCCAGCTTCTCCTCCTGACTTAGCTTCTTCATCGCAATCACCAACCTCATCTGAACGCAGTTTAGGTTTTAGGCACGCGCATCGCACTCAGTTTAGGGTTTAGGGAAATCGCAAGTAGACCCAATCAGGATAACAGTAGCAATAGTAAAAGTAATGATAGCAGTAATAACAAGAATCATTATAATACTAAGAGTAAGAATAACAGTAACAGAATGCAAGTAGTAGTAATAACACTAATACAAATACAAAACGAAGGTGATACAGTACTACTAGTAATGCTCACAAACTCTACTGCAAACTAGGGGGACAACCAAAAAGGGACCTACGATTGTTTTAATCCTGTGCAAGCAAGATCACATGTTGAGCCGCTCTGGCTGACACCCTCGTGGTGCACTTACATAACACTGAACACCCCTGTAATACTCCCTCTATAATCCCTAAACCCTAAACCCTAAACCCAATAATCAGCAGACTATAGCTTACTTGAAACAACAAGAAATCCCTTGCTGGGCAATGCCATCACCATGCCGCCCTCTTCATCTGGCCGGGAGAAACCTACTATCATTGTTAATAGTAGTAGTAGTAGTAGTAGTAGTAGGAGTAGGAGTAGTAGGAGTAGTAGTAATAGTAGTAGTAGTAGTAATAGTATATTATGTATAAAATTAATGTGAGTAATATTAGCACTAGTAGTAGTAGGAGTAATATGAGTAGTATTACTATGATTAGAAGTTTAATTAGCTTTATTCTTATTTAGATTGTTGTCATTAGTACCCTAAACCCTAAACCCTCAACCCTAGACCCCCATTCCTTCCGAGAGACTCAGCCTTCTTGGCCAGCGGTCCCGCCGCCTTCGTGGTCTCCATGACCGACACCCGCAGCTTCTTGCCGCCGATGTTGAAGATCTTCCTTACACGTGGTTTAGGGTTTAGGGTTTTAAGGGTTTAGAGTTCATATTCTGGATTCTGGGCCGACCTAGATACACAAAATCATTTTGGGGCTGTTGACCTGAATACTGTGCATTTAAATGCTGCTGACTGCTCCCAGGTTCGTGTCCATCATGATGAGTTCTGATGGGCTCAGATGGTCCACGTTGGCCTTCGCCTCCAGCATACCTTCTGCAAACTCGTGAACATCCAGACCTCAGCATGATCATCGGACGAGGCCAGTTCAAGCCTAGGATGTTTACTTGATAATCACAGAAATACAAGTAACAATAGTCAAAACAATAACAATCATAATGACAGTAGTATCAGGGGCTTTTGTATCCGAAGACTGGGGCAAGGGCTAGCCAGCTTTCCGAGCTCGGCAGCATGAATTTTGTCAAGCTCAGTTGTGGTTGGTGACCGGAACTCCAAAGAGTCTGAGAGGATGCCTGCCGGGGTAGCTGCAGCTTGCTACGCGGCTCAAAGGCCTCTGCCAAGAAAGAGCATTAGGCAGCCACATTGAAATACCCTTGTATCTTACACTTCGCAAGCTACCCAACAATCTGAGGAAAGCACAATCTGTGCAGAACAATGCTTAAACGGCAACTTTTTTGGGTAAAGCGCCCTTTCGTCTCAAGTCTGTCCCCACATCAGTCCGAAGACACTAGCTACTTCCATCATCAAAACGATGGACGAAGCCTGCCAGCATCAATCCTGCAACATCCTTCGTTGGCGTGAGGCCGCGAAGCTTTGCGCGGGCATAGAGGATGCTTGTTGCAGAGCAAAGCGGCCGCATGTCCACCTAGCAAAAGGGGCAATCATCCGCAATCAGCCAAGTCAGTTCTTTCAAGCTTGCAAAAGTTGGTAGTTTCCCAAAACAAGGGAACCCCAATGTAGACCCCAATATACTATCATCCTTAGTATAGGCACCCCCTATTATAGGTACCCCCCTTATTCTGGGAAACCCTCAACACTAAAAAGTAATTTCCATCTTCTTTTCCTTTATCCCTATAATCATACCCCCTATATGACCCCTGTATTACCCCTATAAACCCCTTAAACGGTCTCCCTAATTTTGGGAACCCCCCCAGTTCTTCTGCCTCCAGAGGCTCGGCATTCGAGAGGCCGCTGAGCTTGTGGTGGTCCACGATGGAATGGATGCTGGCTTTCAGGATGCCCTGATCAGCACAGTACCATGTTACTATATTACTATATCTAGGGTTTAGGGTTTAGGGTTTAGGGGACTATATAACTATAAGATTGTATTACTATAGTACTATAGTACTATAAGATTATACTGCTATATTAAGGATGCCCGGGGATCAACACAGTACCCTGCAATGATACAAACTGGAAGCCTCAGTGCATCCCTGTATCAATATGAGTATATGTCTATACTGCTATATTGCGATATTTCTATATGTCTGAATTACTATAATTCTATATGACTATATTACCATGTTACTGTTATGCCTCTGGGAGCTCTTGGGGGTTGTTTGTGTCCACCACGGCCACGGCATCCTGTGTCAGGAAGCAATGCACAGGAAACAACTTCACAACAGCACAAAGATACGAGGCACCTTCGCCGAAACGTCCGTCAGAAGGGGTGGCACCTTCACACCGAGCCGCTTGAGCACAAAGTCCTGATGAAGGGAAACGGACATATGTCACCAGATCATGAAATCAAGAGATGACGGCACTAGAACTGAGTCAGGAATCTGTTTCCGGATTTAATTCCCCGAGGCGATAAGCCGTAGCGGAGATGTTCCGGGCATTCAACTCCCAGGCATACACCTGAAAGCTGAAAGACTGCAGGAGGTGATGCCTGACCTCTGGCGGAAACACATCATGAACGGGTAAGGTGCACACCAAGGCAGCCGTCACTGTGTCCGTGTCCGGAACCTTGTGGGCTTGCTGCGCGTGCTGACAGGCTCTGACTTAAGAGACTTCGGTCCAGAAGGGCACCTTGTGGCCGAAGACCGAAAGGACCGGTGAAGCTGCCGAAGCCACCGAAGCAGCGGGCAGTAGGCAGTACACAAGAAAGTTCATTGGAAACAACGGCCTGGTAAAGGACAAGGTGCCCAGGGCTTGAGCTAAAAAAGCGTGCAGCAGAGAAAGCAAGGGAAAGGTGCAGCTGCGCAGCGCAGATGCACATGCTCAGGAGACCTCGAGGCCTTACCCCTACGGCGACCTGGACATTTTCTGAACAAGGAACGTTAAGCTGCATGCTGTGGATCATTGAAGGCAGACCCTGATGCAGCCAAGTTTCCATTGAACACAAATCCGGCAAGACTGTGGAAAGGCTTGCCACGCTGTGAGCCAAAAGCGAAATATGATCTCTTGTTCCATCTGTAACAATTCCAGAAAACCTGCACTAATCACCTCAGCCAGTACGAGCTTGTAGCGCTGTTTCTACCTTTTCTCTTTCGACGCAGCTCTTCGCTGCACGCTGGAGCAGGGGCGCTGAGACTGCTGAGCTGAAGAACTTGGACTAAGAACGTGCATGACTACGGTGTAGGGTTTAGGGTTTAGTGCTACGAGTTCTTCACGCAGTGGCCTCAGAAAGCTGAGCATGTAGCAACCATCTTTGGGTGCCTCACAAGCTATTGCGTTCCTAAAGCCATTAGCTTGAAATCCTAGAATCCTCAAAAACTCTTTTCAGCCCTGAGATCAATGTACACCCAAAAACTCAACCCTAATCACTCTTTCTTAACCCCCCGCACCCTAAACCCAACGTTGGAATCCTAAAGCCCGAGCTTCTCCTTAAGCCCATCCTCACGGAATCCTCGGTGTACCGAGGCTTCAGCGCATCTTCTGGTCATGCCAGGGTTTCTCGACTAGGCAGATGTATTCCGAAACAGAACGCCAGCCTTTCCTACATAAACCCTGTATGCATATATATATATGTATGTATACATATATATATATATATAAAAATATGTGTGTATATGTCGTACTTCCCATCTCATTTCCATATGCTTTTCCATTGTAGTCTCCATGATTGGGACCCGAAACCATGGTTTCTCAAAACAGTGTTCATGGGTTCCCCTACCAGCCCCTTTTCCCTGTACTACCCCCCCTAGGTTCCCCTTAAATTAGCCTTGATTAGGTCTAATTACCCCTAACTAACCTTAATTTAGGCGGAACGTAGGGGCGTCAATGCACGAAGCTGCTGAGGCTACGGCTGTAAACTTTGCCTCAGTGGCACGGGCTTGTCTAGGGAAATACAGATATATATCTATATATGTATCTATAGAGGTTATATAAGGATTAGATAGGGCTTATATAGGGTTTATGTAGGGATTATACAAGGGTATATAGGAATTGAATAGGGTTTTATAGGGTTATGTGGGAATTATATAGGGTCATATCCGGATAGCGTGAACGAAAATGGAAGCTACTGTTCAGGGCTTAGGATGCGTGATTGATGACACCCATATGGAGAATAGCATTGAAAACGAAATGGAAACTACTACATATACTGGAGGGATATATGACCCCAATGATGGAGAATCAAACGGAAACAAAATGAAAAGTGAAGTAGAAACTGGAATTATGCAGACCCTAACTTGCAAGAGCAGCTGCCTTTCTGAAGAACGGCGGAATCATCTGTGAACTCCCGCTTCATCCACGGGTCGCAATACGTTATCCAAGCCTTAGCCAATTCCCTAAGGGTCCATGTAGCAAAGGGGTTCCCATATACCTACTTTAAGGCCCAAGTATATACCATATGGCTACATTGACCCTGTGGGATGGAATCAGCCATTCAGTCCTCTGACCTCTATAGGGGTGGTTGTCAAGATTATGGTCCCTTTTTGGGTCAATATTATAGCACGGCACCTAATGTTTAGGGTACCCCAAAAAAGGGACCATAATTTTGACAACTACCCCTAGAGAGTTGCCTGTAAAGGACCCCACATCTGATGCTCGCAGCATCATCTGTATGGCTAGGTCCTCGGTCTCCTGGCAAAAATTTAGAGTTATAATGACCTTATATATTGGGGTTATGTTGGGGTATATATTGGGGTTATATTGGGGTTATGTTGGGGTTATATTGGGGTTATATAGGGGTTATATTGGAGTTATATGGGTATATGTTGGGGTTATATTGGGATTACATATTTGAGAAGCTGAGGCAGCCAGAATTGGCGATATGCTCTGTCCTGGTCCACCTTCTCCTCTGGTGAAGCATCGATGTCAACACCTATTTGTTTCAGGCCTGCACCAGAAACACTTCCTGCTAACTCCATGCAAAACTCTCCCAGGCTATGTGCGTATGCGCCTTTCTTCACGCCAGGCCAGTTACTCTTGCTATATACCACCAAGCCTCAAGACAGCCCCAGCTTAAGTCCGGGTTAGACAGATGCCGCGCGAATTGCATAGAATCGGACACAGAAACTCCTTCGGATCGTCAGTGCCGTCGAGGGGGTCTAGCCTGCACGTCGCGGACTAGAATTCTACTCCGCATCCTTGGTCGTGTAAACTGACATGTTCATTGCCGAGCTGCCCGGTGTAATAGAAATGGAACTTCAGCTCCTCCTCACAATATAGCGAGTACCGAGCAGCTGTGTAGAACCATCTTGCTTTCGGCTCGCTTCCTGCAGCTTGATGACCTCGAGGTACTGCTCTTCCCCCAGAGCCGTGGCTCTCGAGAAAAGCTCCCGAGGCCACATGTTACTGGACAGGGGCAGGCAAAGGTCAATCACATGAACTATTGCAGGGCATGATGTCTAGAACGTGAAGAACGCCCTACAGCAAAGTCTCAAATTCTGCCTGAGGCCATGGTAGTCCATCATGTCGCCTTGGATCATGCGTTCTTGACAGACTTACGTCCGGGGATATGGCTCGAGAACCCCAACTCGTGTCCAGTCCCAATCAGCAATCACTTAAAGGCCGAGCCTCAAAACCACACCCCGCCACCTTCAATGTAGAGTCAGAAAGTTAACTAACCAGCTGTACGTCAAAGCTTTCGCAAAAGACCGGTTGCGCGGGTGGATAGCCACAGCTGGCTTCTTGCCATCTTTTCCGGTGACCTGGCGTTCGGAATGTGTGGACTGAGTCTTGCACGGGTCAGATGTACTGTAGCTGCTCCTTGCAGGCCCCCAAGCCAAGACTTGTAGCTATCTGTAGCTCTACATTGGCATCCTAGAGTTTTCATGCGCAAAAATTTCCTATTGCGCAAGCTGCTGCCTCATAGCCGGAGAGTAGTGGTAAGACAAATTGCAGTGAGAGCAGCCATCACAGCTTTTTTTGCAGTTAGCCTCCTCCCAATCTTCTATCGGGCCGCCACTCCAGACTTTGGCATCCTGCAACAAGATAACCATAAACGCTTCAAGCCTCGACCCTTACTAGTATTACTACTATTCCAATCATTACCATTATTACTGTCATTACTATTACTATTTTGTCAACTTAACAAGGTGCAGGACTGCAGGACCTTCCAACTGGTCATGTCGAATTCGAAATCCACCATGGTTCTTCGGGCTGCTGACCTCGGCTCTGCAGCTGCATCGAAATGTTGACGCTTGGGTTGTTCTCAAAAATGTGGGCCCCTTGGGGTTGAAGCTAGGGGTACCAAAATGGGAACCTAGTTTTGGGAACTACCCACTTGATTAGATTAAGGGTCAACCCAATAAATGGTGCCGGCCAGAACGCATCACATGTTGCTTCAGCGGGGCTTCAACGGGTTGTAAGCTTGCCCGGTATGCTGAGTCCTCTACCCTCGCGGAGTTGAGCGCTCACTTTGATATGGCTTGAACCAACACTGCTGCACTTGAATTATTCTCAGATGTATCCCTTTTGGCTTGACACATGCTCATGGAGGTCTGCGCAAGGAGACAATCTCCTACCGCACTACAAGCCTAGTTGCAGACCTGCTGAACTAGGTGCACATGGTGGAGGC